ATGTAACGCGAGCCGAGTGCGTTGTTGCGTATTTTTGTTGCGTGTCCGAGATACACAAACACGGCAGCGGGGGAGAGTGGCGGGGGGCAAACGTGACGGGTGTAATTACCGATCGTGCTTCTGCAGAGCGGTTAACACCAAACTAAAGTCGTCGTTTTGTTAAAAGTCCCCAGGATCACGGCTTTTTAAAATCCTTTATATTAAGTTCGCTTGCTTGCTTGCTTGCGTGCTTGCTTGCTTGCTTGCGTGCTTGCTTGCTTGCGTGCTTGCTTGCTTACGACCGTGCAAATCTTTCGGTCGTTTTTTAACCCACTTCCCGTGATCCAATCGAGCTGACATTTTGCACACAGACTCGTTGTGCGTGACAATTTATTTTCGTGAACATTTTTTTCCCAAAATTTTACTGTTTAGGGAAAAATAAATAAATATTTAATTGCCAATTGCTTAATGCTGGCAGACAATCATCTGGACCCATAGGTGGCAGCCATCTCAAGCCAGAGGACGAGAAGACTCTAGCCGCCACGCATATAAAGGATTTAGAGTGAAAAACTTTGTTTTTACGGGTTAATTTTTTTAAATCCTTTATATTAAGTTCGCTTGCTTGCTTGCGTGCTTGCTTGCTTGCTTACGACCGTGCAAATCTTTCGGTCGTTTTTTAACCCACTTCCCGTGATCCAATCGAGCTGACATTTTGCACACAGACTCGTTGTGCGTGACAATTAATTTTCGTGAATTTTTTTTTTCCAAAATTTATTTGACACTGTTTAGGGAAAAATAAATAAATATTTATTTACCAATTGCTTAATGCTGGCAGACAATCATCTGACCCATAGGTGGCAGCCATCTCAAGCCAGAGGACGAGAGGACTCTAGCCGCCACGCATATAAAGGATTTAGAGTGAAAAACTTTGTTTTTACGGGTTAATTTTTTTTGTTGGGAGGGGGGCAATTAATGTCATCGTGGTTAGGAATTTCACTCACACCTCTGGCAGTCGCCTAATGACGCTGGTTGTTAAATTTCGATTTAAAGCTTCTTTCGTGACTGCAGGGATTCATCTTCTTGGTTATGTCGGTAAAGTCAAGTAGAAGGGAAATAATAAAATAAATAAAAACATAATAAAATAATTCTCACGACGTTTCGGGCGCAACACAAGCGTCCGTCATCAGGTGGGAAAGCATGGTCCTGCTGCTGAGGCAGACTGTTTTAAAAGGTTTGAAATGGGTGTAGCCCAAGGGTCATACAGAAGTGGCTGGGTCTAGTGATGTTAATGTGAGAGATTAGCATGAAATAACAGCCGACATAGGCAGGTAGGATGGAAACATCACAGTCAGTTAAGACTTTACCTGGTTAATAACGTCCTGCCAATGATTGCTCAGATTGTACCCATCATATAGTGATCGTTTTTTACTCTTTCAACTGGTACAAAAACTGACACCTTTATACAAGGCATCATGTTTGCAATAACCACAACACAAGCAGTCAAAATGCAAACAAAAAGAAACAACTCTGATAATGATATGCACTGTCCTTGAAGTTGATTGGTCCACACCCGAGACAGCTGTTATCAGAGTTGTTTCTTTTTGTTTGCATTTTGACTGCTTGTGTTGTGGTTATTGCAAACATGATGCCTTGTATAAAGGTGTCAGTTTTTGTACCAGTTGAAAGGGTAAAAACCGATCACTATATTTTGCCACTGGTAAAGGAGATGTCTCATAGTGTACCCTTAGAAGTTGTGTCTGTGTTTAGGCTCTCGTCTCACCACCAGTGTCAGACCAGAAAACATCGCCAAAAGGCATTTATAGCTTGGGGTGAGAGCAGCTACAAAACAGGATATTTTTGGCAGTATCAAAGTATGAAAAATAACAATAGATGTAACCCTGTCTGGCAATAAAACAGGTGTCGAGATGTTCAAACACCCAATATAAACCCTTTGCGAGGAACATCTCGACACGTTTTATTTCCAGAAAGAGTAACACCTATTACACTGGTCAACAAAAAAAACATTTTTTTCTGGCCTGGACTTTTGCAGCTGTTTTAGACTAATTTCAGGGTGCAGATTTGCTCTATCATATCTCATTTTATGCTATCGGCATACCCCATTTTCATTGATTTTACCCGAAATTAACTGTCACTTATGATTGCAAGTTGTTGCGAGTCAGTGACTGCTTTAGTGTTAAAATATGGTGCTGTATTTTTTAGGATAGTGTCTTTATAATATCGTTTTATGTAGATATCCACATTTATTTAATAGTTTTCTTCTGCAGTTTTTATTGAAAATGCAATATTTGATATCTCAAAAACCTGATGTGATAGACAAAAACTGATATGGAATCAGCACCCAAAAATTACCTTAAAACCGTTGGAATACCTTATGCCAGAAAAAGTGTGTTGACCAGTGTAAGCATTGTTTCATACTTCGGTGTTGGCAAAAAAGTGTCCCATGTTGTAACTGAATACAACCTTGGAATAAACGCAGTTCAAAAGCAATAACTTCGATTGTAGGCAGAGTTTCACAAACAAACAAAAATATACTCTTTGGTTCTTTCGGTAAAGTCACGTAGGTAGAAAAATAATACAGGTAGGAACAACAGGTTCCACATTGTCCACCAGGGATTATTTGTCTGTCTGTCGTGCATATGTCTGTCCAACCAAGTTCCTACCTGCCCACTCCGAACGTGTTGGATCACGTTTCGGTCGCAACGCAAGCAATCATCAGGTGGTTGTTCCCACCTGATGATTGCTTGTGTTGCGATCGAAACGTCGTGACTTTACCGCAAGAACCAGAGTATGGATTCCTGCAGCCACGAAAGCTTGAAATCAAGATTATACAAAAAATATTTTAACCATAATTTCATCATCTTTTATTCAGATTTTTACGGCCGTTTACACCGATGAAATTATTGTTTGTTTCTAACAGGTCTTGGTGCAGACAAATGACGTCGCCCAATTCCACGCATCAATTTTGGCAGGAACATATAAAGACCCGCGCCAGGAATCGACGCAGTTTTTCCCACACCCATTGCACGTTCTGATCAATCCGATAATCGATCCAATAACCGATGTTACATTGACGAACTTTAATCGAGGGCCAGTCACTCCTATCAATCCCGGACTCGTCCCTAATAAGGCCCAAGACCTCTTGCCCACCGTAAGCAAAAAAACATCAGAGGACATCCATCGGCAAGTTCTTAAGAGAGGGAAACCGTGTTCGGCAAGTCTGTTGGACGAATCCAGAGCCGCTTTTTTGCACGACGGACGCCTGCATCTTGCCAAACACCACGTGTCCTACCCCCCCTCGCCCCCCCACAATCTCGTGCGTTGCAAACCCAGTGGATGCACACAGACTAACAAGAGAGCACACACACACAGTCTCAACTTAAAATTTTGCTCGTGCTTTTATTCGTCCCGGTTCGATCCTCAATCCGTTAATCTCCCCCCTCCTCTCCACTCCAGCCACTCCTCCCCGCCCGGCCGCATTTTGCATCGTGATGGTGAACGTACACAAACACGGCAAAGACATGGCAAATCGCTGGGGGGGGGGGGGGGGGCAGTGCCCACAGGGATGGGTGCCCACCACCACATTCACACGCACCCCATGGAGCAACTCAAAATAACCTGGGCACCACTTGAGGCCAAGCTGCTATCTTTCACAATAAAAAAAAAGTATTGTAGCATGAGCTTTGACCACCCCTTTGACAATGCACGCTGTGCGTATATATAAAACCAGCCAATAATGTTCACACGCCCACACCGAAAAGAATAAAAACCACCATTAAGGACGTTAAGCAAAAGAACAAAAAAATATCCGGCGCGCTCCGTTATGCCCACTGGGTTTCTCCCGAGACGAACACAGGTCTGGTGTAGTGTTGGCTTTTTTTCTGTTTGTTGTAGTTTTATTGCAGCACTGAGAAACGTGGAGCAACCACGGTCGTGACAAACGCGCAAAAAAAATCACCTAAGCAGCCCCTCCCCCCAAAGAACGCATCTGGATTACCTTCACGTACTTTGTGTTAATTACTTTTTCTATAGAACCTCTTGACTCCTCCAATTGTAATGTAATAGGCACCTAAAATCCCAGATGAAAAACACAAAGTGATGGAAAGCAAAAATTAAAATCGTACGTGGGCGCCGTGGACTTGCGATTTCTGCTGAACAATCCGTTTAGATTTTTGTTGCTCTGCGATTGGTTAAAATTTCCCCCACAAACCCCACTCGGGCCAAAATAAAAAGGACTTTTAACAAAACGCAAGATGCAATGTAAGACGGCCTTACACGCAGCAGCAGCAATTTAATCAGTAGGTGCGGGCGCTCAGAAACCCGTTTCACAATTTCTGCCCCAATAACTTTCAATAAAACTCAAGTGGTCCGAGTGGATATTTAAGACAAATAAGCCACCGGATTCGTTTTTTAATCCTTTATATTAAGTTCACTTGCTTGCGCGCTTACGACCGTGCAAATCTTTCGGTCGTTTTTTAACCCACTTCGCCTTGATCCAATCGAGCTGACATTTTCCACAGACTCGTTGTGCGTGACAATTTATTTTCGTGAAATTTTTTCCCAAAATTTTACACTTTATAGGAATTTTTTTTATATTTAATTACCAATTGCTTAATACTGGCAGGCAATCATCTGACCCATAGGTGGCAGCCATCTCAAGCCAGAGGATGAGAGGACTCTAGCCGCCACGCATATAAAGGATTTAGTGAAAAACTTTGTTTTTACGGATTCGTTTTTTTTCTTCTCAAGAAAAGGCGCTAAACCTCAAGTCGGCCAGAATGACTCAGCTTGGAGCTCTCCTAAACAAAAATGCAGCCCACATTCGGAACATTGGTCCCGTGTTTATTTTTTTCTTCCAAATTTACAATCCCTCCCGAGAAAGGAGTAAGAGGGGGGGGGGGGGGGAAGGTAGATAAGGCGTTAAGAGAGTTGACATTTTAAACCATCTCCCTGCCTGGGTTTAAAACTTCATCACGTGCCCTTAAGAAAATACAAGCACAACATTGATACAGCAAATGGTTTAATGCAATTATAATGACTCGCAAACCTTTTGACCCCAACGTAAAAGAATGCATATGCCAAGGCAAGTGGGAGGAACTTATCGTCGTGCAAAGACAACTCTACACCGTGTTGTGCTGCAAATTTTTTGTTTGTGGGGGGGGGGGGGGGGGAAACAAAAATACACGATTGTAGGTTAGGCACGCACATACCAAATTGTGTTTAAAAAAAACACAAACCACAGGATTCATTAGCCGCTTCCACAAACCCGGTTTCTCTCCACCTCGGCAACCACGACATAACTTTGGAAGATCTGAATAAGCCCACAGGATGCCGCCATTCTGCCACGGCTAGCCGCCAAGTTCCGATACGCAACAGCGAATGGGGGGGGACTTTGCCACTCAGCTCTTAAAAGTCACGGCGGTAGGGGATGAGTCGAAGTACTGAGCAAGAAAATTGGAGCAATACCACCAGGGTTTGAACTGTAATCGTTTATTGCATTTGATTTTGCATTGTTGCCTTGAAGTGATGCGCCGCGTCAATTTTTTTGTTTACTTTTTTTTATTCTTATTTGTTTTTTTTACATTTTTTAGAACTTTTTTTCCACCCATTTTTTTTTTAGTAAAAACAATAAACCCCCCCCCCCCACTCACCCACCCAACCACCACCACCACACCCCCAGAGGAAGAGGAGGCGCCACCACCGCCGCTGCTTTTAAAGAGAGACGCGAAACTGTTGTCGCGAGCGCCGTGGGCCAGACCCGTTCGAAATCGAGTAGCGGCGACGGTGCTGGTTGACGCGTAGCAAAATACAGCGGGACTAAGGGGGGGGGGGGGCACGGACAATGCACTTTTTATCAAATTGTATTTATTTTCTCCTCGTGTTTGTGTATATATATCGTGTATATATAGTTTTTCTTTCATCAATTGACCAGTTTGGGTTAGCGAGCGATACAAGTCGGCGATAAGGTTGCCATTCTTTTTCATTTCATCCTTCCCTCGGGGGGGGGGGGGGGGGGGGGCGGCGGCTTGCCCTTAATACCCCGATTTCCGCAAGTAATCCGCCACGTCGAAAGCGGTCTTATTGAGAAGCCCCCCGTGAGTGCCTTCTTTGCCTTCCACCATTACCAGAGCTAAAGGGGGGGAGGGAGGGGCACACGTGGGAGGAGAGGGGGGAAAAGAACAAATTAGAAAATATGAAAACGTGCAACGATATCGCACTCGAAAAACTCAACACGTCCAAAATACTCCTTACAACTCCGGTAACATCCAAATGATTCCTATAGATTGGAGAAAAAAAATGACAACACAAAACGACAGCATTGTTTTTCCCCCCCATCTGGCACATCCGAGGCAGCACGGGGACACACACACAAACACCATCGTGGTGGTACAGGTGGGTTTTCCACACCTTGCACATGCCACATTGTTTGAGACTAAAGCAACGCAACTTTGTTGCTGCTTCTACTTTGCACCGGGAGTAACCACGTTACGGAGCCAATATGACCGTTCAAGGACCATGTGTTTATTCTGTGTTTAATACAGCACGGGTTATTCAGGCCCGAGGGGCTGAGAAAGGCTACTGCCTGGAGTGGGGGTGTGGATGGAGAGGGGGAAGGGGCATGGGTGGAGTGGGGGTGGAGTGGAGGGGGTGTGAGTGGTGGTCCCACATCGGTCCCACTGTACGATGGGCGACATCACTTAGAACCCTGAGAACGATTGTTCAAGGGAGTTTTATCAATCGTCTGCGGGCAGCCCGATGCCTCGTCAGCAGCCCTGCAGTGGAATTAAGCAAAAAGGTGTCTCTCCTCGGCAAATTGATTACACAAACAAACACATGTTAGAGAACAGGGAAGTTGTACACAGCCGTGGATTGTGCGGCACTTCGGAAACGTGCGGCCGTTACAGGAAGCATTTAACTGGCCGCAACGAGAAAAAGAGGAACGTAAGTAACTCTCCGCCGTGGGTTGAAAATAATTCCGGTCGAGTGCTTTTCCTTTTTTTAAAAGTCAGATTAAATCCAATATTCACCCATCGGGAAATGAGGGGGGGGGCAGGAGGCACTTTCGACCCGCCGGCCTGTCTCGGGAAAGGCCACAGACCCCAGCGAGATCCAGAAAGAAAACCTTGGCGTCTTGAACACTTCCGCAGGATAGTCCCCCAAGCAATAAGTAAAGGATGTGGGGAACCTGGCCACAAATGATAGTTCAACGAAGCGGCTTGTCACGTCGAAAAGCATGGGGACGGGCAATGCCAAACGAGGAAATGTGCTGTGTTTGCCGGACTATAAGAACTTTGGTGGGTTGTAATTTTTCCAGAAAAACATGAAGTGGTGTGGAAGTAGTTAACAGGGGTGCAAAGATTTAAACTGACAAAGTACCACAGTGAACGCTGGAGAAAATAGGTGCGTCCCGTCAATGCGGAAAATACGTTCTAAGCCGAAGAGGTTGTAGCACATGCTGGCAATAGATGTGTTCGGTGCACCCCGAGGCAGTCAAATGTATTCAAATCTTATCGCATGTAAGTGGTGGCCAAGGAGATAAAGACCACCAGGAGAAGGGGGCCACCCCCCCAACATTTTATTTAAAATAATGGGGTGGGTGAGGCGTGCATCTTATTATCCAGAGAATATAGCAATTCAGAAGATTTATACTAGAGTAATCCGATCAGCTATAAAGCTCTTTCACACAGATGCCCTGTAGATAACCCCCCCCCCACCCCTTTTAAGCATCGCCACACTGCGACAGAGGTCGCAACCGGGTACCCGATACCCGTACCCTACCCGATACCCGGCTACCCGTACCCTGCCGGGTACGGGTAGCCGGTACCCGTTTGCGACCGGGTACGGGTAGGCCGTGAGTCACTGGTGAGTAACTGTTTATCACTCATTTCCCAACCTCTTGTCTCTTCTCACAATTAAAGTTCCTAGAATCAACCCACCCGCACCTGCAACATGGCTTCATTCCAGAGGTCGCAATCAGGTACCCGATACCCGTACCCGGCCGGGTACGGGTACCCGTTTGCTACCCTGGTGCGGCCGGGTACGGAATCAAAACCCGTTTGCGACCTCTGCACTGCGACCGACGCAACTTACTTTTCAAGGACTTGGCGATGGCGATGTTATAGGTCGTACTACTGTGCCCGTCGGCCTTGGTGCGCAAGTCCATGGTGTGCTCATCATCCACGTCAAGACTGTCGCGGAGGACGGAGCACTTCCGCCCGGCCACCGTTATGCCGTTTGTGAGCAACCCATCTCGGTTTGGTGCAGACAGCTGGGCCACTTCCGCAGGCTGCAGCCAGAGAGAGGGGGGGGGGGAAGGGAGAAAACACAGCCGCCAACACTCGTCAAAAGTCCTGGCCAAAGGCCTACACGCACATGGTGGAAGTTGTAAGGGGGGGGGGGGAGATTCATTGGACCGAAGGGCAGATCCGGTCGTTTCTGATACCGCTCTTGCCAACCGACCTTGGCCGTGGATGGGAATTGCAACTTGGGGTTCTCGCTGGGTGTATGAGAGCAGTGCGACCGACGCTCGCTCTCTCACACACACACACCCGTCCCCGCGGGGTTTTCATACCGATCGTAAAGTACATTTTTACGGCCGAAGAAACGCCTTGCGGGAGGATTAAATTAAAGGCTTTGACCTCATGAGAACTGCCGCATTAAAAAAAAGTGTCCCATCGCCACATTGGGGTAAAACAAAAGCAAGGCACACGAGCGGCTTGAATTCTTTTGCAACAATGTTGAAAACTCATTTCGAATTGCACTGCACACATTCAATCTGCAACTAGTCAATTCTTTACAAATACTTTTTGCATTGAGTTTGTCGTCCGTCACCTCCCCCCCCCATGCGCACCACCGATTAGTACGGTCGGCTACGTATTGTGCACGAGACAAGTTCAACATACACACGTAGAGTCTATGCCTTGCGATCTCGCGGTAGGAAACTGAAATTTGTACACGCGGCTCCCGCACACACAAGACCGATCTTCGTCGCTCGATCTTCCTCCAAAGCATGTCCCCTCACTCCTCTCGAGTTTCCACTCGTGGGCCCACCCCCACAGCTATACCAGCCAACAAATCCCACTTTTGTTATTTGCACGCAAGCCGTATTAAGAACCCATGCATACATGCATACTTATGCCGCTGAAATGCGTTTCTACAAAACTCCAGCAACATTAACATCGCCCGTTTCACACCACCCAGGCATCCTGGGAGGTTTCAACCGCTCAACTAAATGAACGCACAAATTCACAACACGTGCGTATTTATTTTTTGCGGGCAGTGTTAACTTTGCGAACAAAAATTTCGGCGATGGAAATTTCAAAATTAACTCGTCCGAATAAACACGGAGACCAAGATACGTTTGGTAATGTTACTGGAGATAGTAGTGCACCGGCGATGGCAAATGTCAATTCATGTATTTAAAATGACTCCGAATTCAGCATTTGGCCGAGCTGATAATATTGGAGGGAGGAGGGTGTGATGCAATAACTCACCAACATTTAATAAGTGAGAGCGGAACAAAGCGGTTAACGCTTTAGCCGCCGAAGAATGACCAAATTCAAACCGCAGAGTAAGAAACAAGCTGCCCCATCTTCTACAAAAAAATTGAGGCAACGCTGCCTTGCAAGCGAGCACACGGAGGTTCACAAACTTTTCTTTGAATGAGAGCACTCATAAAAGGCAGTCTCACAAGTGAAATGTATTGTTGCAACGTAGTCGAGGGCAAGAGATTGGTGGAGGGGGGCCTAAATAAATTGCAATATTTTTTTTACTTTCCAGAAGAAATTGCACTTTGTTCCTTTCTGCAGATCGTCATCCGGACGCTGTTCGGCAAAGCAGACCCTTGTAAGCCATACCGACTATTAAATTCACATCACTAGCTACCCAGTAACAAGCCACACCTTAAATGAAGATTTTGTTTTTGTAAAACGTGCAAACGGCATGAATTGAAAGACCGGCTTGGTTTCAATTAATTATTTCAGCTAGCTGCCCCAAACCTCCATTTTTATATCAACTCCTACCATGGATTGCCTGAAATTAGATATGCCCTCCTTGGCGGTGTTGAAACACAACTTGCATTCCACTACTGCCAGTTTCAGATGATATCTCTGGATGTCCAAAAATGTCTTGCTCCCGACAAAATTTCAAAGCATAATAAATTCTCAACTTCTTTGCAAATTCACTGGCCAGTCACTGCATTCATGAGGCTCAAAGCTTCAACGACTATATTGTTATTCCGACTTCCGGGAATCTGTCCCGATGAGTCACAGACTTATGTTTGAAACTAAACCGTCGTTTTCAAACGCTAAATTTGGTTGAGAGAATCGTTCTTCAACTTAACCGGGCGAGCCGAATCGGTGCATCGTTACAATTTCTACTGTTTTTTTGCGGTTGTATCGGATAATAATCAAGTCCTTTGGTCGCATCGTCAGATCATTCATACGGCCCCAAAAACTCAATTGTCAATCATCGCTTGCTTAAAAACTCCAATCGGTATGTTGCGTGTATAAAGAAAAGCAAAAGGTGCAGGCACTGCAACTTTCTTGCGAACACACCGCTACGAACGGAAGAGCCTCGACTCAAGCAAACTGCAAGAGCCTGCTCCAGAGGGTATTTTGCGGGAGGTGACAGGAACCCCAGACTTGACCCCACCACACATGACCCCCCCGCCGATCGACTGCGGTGTACAATACCCCGTGTTGCTACGCTGCTGGTTGGACGGGTGGCAAGGGAATTTGGTTTGTGACCTGGACTTCCCGCCGCTCGATATGCAGCACACCGTTTGATGCCCTCTTCTCTTCCCCCACATCTCACCGTCCCCTTTCCTGCTCTTGATTCAAACTATATATTTTGTTTCTATTAGCAGGTAAGGGCCTACGGAGTTATGGAGCTCTTTTCTTCCACAAGCAACCTGGACATCACAAAGGATCGTCAAACAAAGCGGCTTGTGGAAATTTATCGTCGGCCATGTAGTCTTAATAATGCGTGTCGATTCTAAACATGGAGGGAAAGACCGCGACGAAAATCCACGGGGAGAAAGAACATGCAAACTCCAAATACACAGGGCGTCAGAGTCGGGTTCGAATCCACGACCTCCTGAATACCATGGAAAGGGAGTTAACATAACCACCGCTTGGTTCATTCTTTTTCAGAGTGTCTTTTCAAAAGACACGCCCTGTGTATTATCCACGACCAGCTATTTTCGGGGTAGTCAAGTATCAAACGGAACCCCATATAAAAAATATCAGACTCCTCGTTTGTCCCAAAACCTCCAAAAGAACTAAAATTAAGAACTGGCCTACTTACTTTCAAGTGGCGCAGGGGCAGGAGACAATAGTTTAACTGGCGACCTCTGCACTTGCCGGTGCAGTGCTAACCATTATTGCACCATGGTAGTAGCCGCACTCCCCCACCCCACCACCAACACCATCCCTCGGCAAAAAAAAACTGTGGCTGCTCGGCAAAGGTGCGGCCAAGACACCACCCCAACCACCACCCCACCCCCAACCTCGTCGGCGCTTCGCCGAGAGCTCCTGGGCGAGGCATAATCTGCCACCATCTCCCGCCCAAAAAACCCCCATTCGCTGCTGCAACCACTTAAAGCTATCAAAAAAAAGCCACTTGCCCGACAGCTGCAAAGCACAGCAAGGCACGGGGGGAGGGCGGGAAGAAGAGTGGAGGGTCCAAAGATTTGTAACCGTGGGGCTGACAATCAGAGAGGTTCAGGAAAAAATAAACACACGGGCGGAAATGGATTTGTGTGTAGTGCCGTTTCACGACGCGAGAGAGACCCCCCCCCCCCCCCCGTTTATTTGGAATCGTGGCAGGGGTCCTTTGAGCTCGCAAAGGGAATCAATGTCCGGGTGGGGTTGGAGGTACTGGAATCGCCAACATTCGAAACGAGCACGTTTCGTGCTCCATTGGCCGTCACCGAATGCGGCCTAGGCAAGAGCCCACGGCACGAACGGACGAGACTGGCGTGGCCAGAAGGCGCCGGAGTCTACGACGGGGAGGCAACTTTAAGGGGGCAGGAGACAAAAAAACGTTACTCGTTGATTACAATTCTCTTAACTAAACGACCAGGTTTAGTCTTCTTGGTTCTTTCGGTAAAGTCACGTAGAAGGGAAATAATAAAATTAAAATAAAACATAAAATAATTCTCACGACGTTTCGGCCACAACGCAAGCAGCCGTCCTCAGGTGAAGAACAGGTCTGTCGGGAAGACAGCGTCTGAATGAAACACCCCAGGCTTGGAGCGTATATTTAAGCTGCGTTGGACCAACTTTAGTTTGAGAATTGCAGTTCATTTTGAAGCATCCTGTGTGAGCCAAGCAGCTCTGGAATCGGGTTTCACGAAACCCGATTCAGGAATTGGTTCACGTCGTACAACAGTAACCCGTCACGGACACTGAACTTCCATTGCGCCTTCACAAGCCCACCAGCCGCAACAACTCTACTCGGTTCGTCCTTGCGGCAAAATTTCCGTTAGCTCTGTTAACCAAAAAAAAAAATCACCGGCATTCACGGCCTCTCGCCGAATTTGCGGTCGCGACGACCTAAAAATCGACCCAAATTTTGTTTTTATCGTCACCCAATCGGCTCTTAAATAGGAACGAGCCAGCCGCAGCCGTCAGCTCAAGGGCCCTCCGGGTGCCTACAACTTCGTGGACTTTGCAGGCCAGAGGCTGCGTGTGGTGGTGGTGGTTGGGTGGGTTGACCTCTCTTCTCGTGCGTGGCCCACGCCACGCCTGTGCGCCGTCGCTGCTCTCTCGCTCTGGGTGAGGCCCACTCGGTAGTCAAACATGGAGGAGGGGAGGGAGGGGGATGAGGAGGGGAGGGAGGGGGATGAGGAGGTTGTGGGGGAGGAGGAGAGGGGAGGAGCAGAGCCACGCCCTGAGACATGGCAGCACCAGTTCGCGAACAGTCGATAGCGGAAATGGCAGAAGAATGGGACAAACCGTTCAACTCGTGTTTTTTCTCGTTCTTTTGCCAAAGCTGCCCCCACACACACAAATGATGCAGGTAGTGGTGCGCTTCCTTGTCAGCGAGGATGCCATGTGAAGAAAACAAATAAGTCGCTTATAGCTCATCGGATTCCACCAGTAGAAAAATTCAGGTGGCGATTTTGCACTGACAAGCGTCTGATGATGTGTTAACAACGACGGGGGTTTTCCCCCCTTCCGACCCGCTACAGCAAAACTGGCCATCACCCACGCTACCTTACCACACACCAGCCTTAACACGCTTTAGACACAACGCAAGAGTTGACGATGCCTTTATCAAACGACACCCGCAGCGTACCTGGCAGCAACATCCTGCATCAGCAGTGATGATGACTCAACATCAAGTCTAGCGTAGATAGATGCCCACCCACACACACAGCATGTAAACTATTTTTTTTATTTCACCAGGTAAGAGCCACAGCTCTTTTTTCACAAATGACAGCCCAACGAAGGATGCGGCTTATCGAGTGGAAATTTATAGCAGTCGACTACTCGATAAACGCGTGACTGTTGATTCTAAATGTGGTAGGGGGGGTGGAACGGAGGATCCGGAGAAAAATCCACGCGATCACGGGGAGAGAGAGACACGCAAACTCCAAATATACAGCAGCAGGCGTCAGGATCGAGATTGAACCTACAACCTCCTGTATACCAGGCGAGGTAGTTAACATCTCCTAGTCACCGTGGCGTTACAACGCATTTCATGGCGAGGTTAGAGAGGTGGAGATGCGTGGCCAGGATATTTAGTGGCGTTTATTTGCCACGCAGTTAAGGACCACCACCACCTTCCGCATTACTGCAGCTGCCACGCAGTCTATTAGCCTCGCACACACTGGGTTGATTATTATATACCACGTACAACAGAATAGGCCTCAAGTCCTAAAACATCACGAGTGGACCCCACACTAAGAGATTTCCCCACCGAGCACATCACAAAGCCATCAATTGGACTCGACACTAAACAGAATTGCCCTCTCGCTCACCGATTACACAGAGACACCCTTGACCACTGAAACCACGCGGGGTTATTTCTCAACCGATTTCGTCGCACGAGGTGAGAAACGCCGCGTGGGTGCACTCCTTCGCTGCCACACCACAAAAAAAGAGGGCATTTACGAAGCATTCACACGCCGCGTTGAAACGACGGTCACCAAACAACATTTGTATCGTGGCAGTGTGTGGCAAGGCAACTCCTCTCTTATGCAAGCAAGGAGGGGGGAGGGAGGGACTTCTTTGTCGTCTCGCTTTTGAGTGTTTTTCTCCAAGTGTCCGGCATTAGCTCATACTGGCAACCCAGTCTAGCCTAGTCGAGAGTGGTAGTAGTAGAAGTAGTTAACCACGAGTTGTTACTCTACCAGTGAAAAATTGGCGCCATCGCAAAACGTTCACGGTTCGAATTCGATGGGCGGCCCCGGCGATTAAAACTTTGTAAGAATTTTGGCCAGAAGATGTCCAACTTTATTAGCAACGGCGAAGCGATTGTGAACAATTCTACCCACACGGCGTCTTTTCTTGCACAGATGTGGCGGTGGTGACACCCACTACAACAACCACCCACCCACCCATCTTTAGAGTTATTTCCTGGTTAAAAGAAAATGGCCTTAAATAAAGATATTAAAAGTTCTGCTAACAACAACAACAAAAATCTCCCAAACTGCTTTTTCGTTGTCGATGGGTTAAGAGAATATAAATCGGAACCACTTGAAATTTTAATATCGCTCGTTGGCAGACCACAAAGGGAAGTTCTAAAAGTGAATTTAAAACAAAACCACACTAACGTTTAAAGTTTCCTCTCCTGTTCAGCCCGTCTCCCGCAATGTACCAAGTTATATATTGTTATAATACCAAGTACATCGGATGGAAAATAAAACCCATTCTCACACACACACAGAGACACACATACACACACAGAGACACACATACACACACAGAGACACACACAATGTTTCACTATGGAGGGGCTTAGAGCGCACACACCCTGTAACAAAGACAAAGATCCCCCGTATAGCCTCAACAGACTGCTGGGGCAAGTGCTGTTAGCGAGTCGTGCTAAAAACCACGCCCGAGCCCGCCTTTGTCTCCCCCCCCCTGTGACACGACACACCGCATCAGGTACTCATTTGAGGCCGAGTCAACCTAGGGGGTTGTTAGTGGTGATCGTGAGCGGGAATCGAACTGCGGGAGTGGCCGCCAGCGCTAACCACTGGCCCACCGCTCCCCCGGGGCTTGGCAAAGCTCCCCCGTGTAGCCTTTGACACTGTTTGGGGGCAAGTGCTGTTAGCGTGTGGCACCTATGAAGGCCGGCTTAGCACACACAGACAGACACACATAGACACACATAGACACACACAGACACACACAGACACACACAGTGACACAGAGACACACAGAGACACACAGACACACAGAGACACACACAGAGACACAGTGACACACACAGAGACAGCTACACACAGAGACAGCTACACACACAGACACACACACAGACACACACACAGAGACAGCTACACACAGAGACAGCTACACACACACACACACACAGAGAGACACACACACAGACACACACACACAGAGACACACACACAGACACACACACAGACACAACACTACAGCACCAGCGTATTGCCGCCTTACACTCTCATACCGCCACCTTCCAGATCATTCCCCCCCTCCCCCCTCTGGCCCAGCCCTCCGTCTCCTCTACCAGACGCAGCACCCATAACAATTACAACCACGACTATTGTTGTTATTATTACAACAACAACAACGACGATGATGATAACCTCATCTTGCAAACCCCCCCAGCCTACGCCCTGGGGCAGCCGCGCGTCATGGCGGGGCCGCCGCCGTCTCTTCGATTTGTTGGCGGGGTCCATTTCCCCCTTTCTCTCTCTCCTCCTCCTCTTCCTCCCACAACCATCATCACCATCACCACCATCGCCTCTCTCTCCTCCTCCTCCCACAACCATCACCACCATCACCACATCGCCCCTCATCCCTCCATCATCATCACCACCATCGCCTCTCTCTCCTCCTCCTCCCACAACCATCACCACCATCACCACATCGCCCCTCATCCCTCCATCATCATCATCACCACCACATCGCCTCTCTTCTCGCTCTCCCACCCTCGTGTCTACATCTTCCTGCATTTGTACCCCAATGTCGTTCTTCTTGCGCCTCTCCCACCCAACGCAATCTCCACTTCTCCCGCCATACTTCACCACCACTACCACCACCATGCATCACACCACCACCACCCACACCACCACCACCACCACGCTTCTCACCACCACCACGCTTCTCACCACCACCACCCACACCACCACCCACGCATCAAGCCACCACCAACCACCACCACCCACCCCACCATCACCCACACCACCACCATCATGCACCACCACCACCACCATCATGCACCACCCACACCACCACCATGCACCACCCACACCACAGCCCACCACACCACCACCATGCACCACCCACACCACCACCATGCACCACCCACGACCACCACCATGCACCAAGCCGCACACCACACCCACACCACCATCACCACCACCACCATGCACCACCCACACCACCACCATGCACCACCCACACCACCACCATGCACCACCCACACCACCACCATGCACCACCCACACCACCACCACCCACACCACCATCACCACCCACACCACCATCATCACCCACACCACCATCATCACCCACACCACCATCATCACCCACACCACCATCATCACCCACACCACCATCACCACCACCCACACCACCACCACCACCACCCCCACCCCGCATAGAAGACATCTCAGCCCCGACCGCGGCGACACCGCAAGCCGTGCCGTGGTGGAGGCGCCTTAGGGCGTAGCCGAAGCCCTCCGCGTCTCTGTCCGACCCCCCCCCACCACTACAACCACACCTACACCACCACTATCATCACCACCACCACCCACACCACCACCCAAATCGCTACCACCAACACCCACACCACCACCATCATCACCACCACCACCACCACCCAAACCGCTACCACCAACACCCACACCACCATCACCACCCAAATCGCTATCACCAACACCCACACCACCACCATCATCACCACCACCACCGTCATCACCACCACCCACACCACCACCCACACCACCACCCACGCCACCACCACCGTCATCACCACCACCCAAACCACCATCAGCACCACCACCACCACCCAAACCACCATCAGCACCACCACCACCACCCAAACCACCATCAGCACCACCACCACCACCCAAACCACCATCAGCACCACCACCACCGTCATCACCACCACCCACACCACCACCACCCCCCACATTACCACCACCACCACCCACATCTCTCTCACCGCGTCTTAACCTCCCCTGGGCGTCGCCTCACCACCCCCCCCCCCCCCGCGTATCTCTCTCCACCCACAAAAAAACCCAATCGCCCATCATCCACTCCGATCATCTCTCGTGCCATCTTCCCGCTTAACCACCCCGTCTCCCTCCCGGCATCGTCCCCGTGGTGTAGGAGAGAGAAGAGAAGAGAGAGGAGGGAGGGAGGCATGGCCTCACCGTGATGTTTCGCAGGTGGCTGCCCGGGTGATGCGCCCACACCGACTTGGATTCCAGTCCAACAATGACGGCGTCCTTCTCCACGCCGCTCAGCATCAGCCTCCCGATGTAGCCGTCCCAAGACATGATTGACGGGCTTGGTGTGTGCTAAGGGGGGGGAGGTTTTGGCTGTTGTTTTTTTTAATTGATGGCGCCGCGTCCCCTACAACAACGACGACTGCAACAGCAGCAGCAGAAGAAGAATAAGCCGCGTGCGGGGAAAGCGAAATGGCGGGGCCGTCACCGCCCTTCTTTATATACCCCCAGGCCACGCCCACGGAGCACAAACGCGGCATCCCATTGGCTGCCGCCCACCGCCAATGGCACCGCCCGATGCTCTTGTGGGAGGAGCGTGGCGGGGCGCGATTACGCGGGACGCGCTGATTGGTCGCGAGGCGCGTCACCTGACACTATAACTGGGCGCGGACGCGTTATGTTAATGAGGCTCGGCGCATATATTATGCTAATGAGCCTTCTGATTGCCACGGGTTTGCCTACGCACGGTGCGAAATAAGTTCAACATACGTCCATAGAGACCCATAGACTCACACAGAGAATCACACAGAGATCCATAGACACTCATACAGAGACCCATAGACTCACACAGAGACCCATAGACTCACACCAAGAATCACACAGAGACCCATAGACTCACACAGAGAATCACACATAGACCCATACACTCACACAGAGACCCATAGACTCACACAGAGACCCATAGACTCACACAGAGACATAGACTCACACCAAGAATCACACAGAGACCCATAGACTCACACAGAGAATCACACATAGACCCATAGACTCACACAGAGACCCATAGACTCACACAGAGACCCATAGACTCACACAGAGACCAATAGACTCACACCGAGAATCACACAGAGACCCATAGACTCACGCAGAGACCCATAGACTCACACAGAGAGACCCATAGACACTCACACAGAGACCCATAGACTCACACAGAGACCCATAGACTCACACAGAGACCCGTATACTCACACAGAGACCCATAGACTCACACAGAGACCCATAGACTCACACAGAGACCCATAGACTCACACAGAGACCCGTATACTCACACAGAGAACCACACAGAGACCCATAGACTCACACAGAGACCCATAGACTCACACCGAGAATCACACAGAGACCCATAGACACTTACAAAGAGACCCACAGACTCACACAGAGACCTATAGACTCGAACAGAGACCCACAGATTCACACCGAGAATCACACAGAGACCCATAGACACTTACAAAGAGACCCATAGACTCACACAGAGACCCATAGACTCACACAGAGGCCCATAGACTCACGCAGAGACCCATAGACTCTCACACAGAGACCCATAGACACTCACAGAGAGACCCATAGACACTCACACAGAGACCCATAGACTCACACAGAGACCCACAGACACTCACACAGGGACCCATAGACTAATACAGAGACCCACAGACTCGCACAGAGACCCATAGACTCACACAGATACCCATAGACTCTCACACAGAGACCCATAGACTCACACAAAGACCCATAGACTCACACAGAGACCCATAGACTCACGCAGAGACCCATAGACTCACACAGAGACCCACAGACTCACACAGAGACCCATAGACACTCACACAGAGACCAACAGACTCACACAGAGACCCACAGACTCACACAGGGACCCATAGACTCACACAGAGACCCACAGACTCACACAGAGACCCACAGACTCACACCGAGAATCACACAGAGACCCATAGACTCACACAGAGACACTCACACAGAGACCCATAGACTCTCACAGAGAGACCCATAGACACTCACACAGAGACCCATAGACTCACACAGAGACCCATAGACTCACACAAAGACCCACAGACTGACACAGAGACCCATAGACTCACACAGAGACCCATAGACTCACACAAAGAGCCATAGACTCACACAGAGACCCATAGACTCGCACAGAGACCCATAGACTCACACAGACCCATAGACTCACACGGAGACCCATAGACTCACACGGAGACCCATAGACACTCACACAGAGACCCACAGACTCACGCAGAGACCCATAGACTCACACAGACCCATAGACTCACACAGACCCATAGACTCACACAAGTTTCAAGTTCATTTATTAGGTATAGCCCTGTGAGCCATTCGTTCTTGAATCGGGTGCAACCGCAACAAACAAGAAAACATCTTAAAGTGAATATGTGACCAAGTGCAAACAGAAAATCCAAGAAAAGACAGCAAAATATTGCAGAAAAAGCACCGTACACCAACACTGTGTGCAAAAATCCCAGTGGGATGCAAGTCAAACAACAACAACCACAAGACAACTTAGATTAAGGCCATCAGTCTAACTCTGTACTACAACAAACAAACATGGCCAAACCAAAAAAACTTTTCAAAAATCACTAAAATAAAGCCATAAAAGCAATGAAACAGTGATGAGACAATTACGATTTAAAGCTTTCGTGGCTGCAGGAATTCATACTCTTTGGTTCTAACGGTCAAGTCACGTGGATAGAAATTAATAGATCACGACGTTTCGATCGCAACACAAGCAATCGTCTTCAGGTGATTGCTTGCGTTGCGATCGAAACGTCGTGATGTATACACTTTTTGTTGTATTTGTCTACCCACGTGACTTTACCGAAAGAAACCAAAGAGTTGTGGATTTCCCTGCAGTCACGAAAGCTTTAAATCAAGATGATAAGGCTGTGTCAAAAAGATGGACCCAAATTTCAAAGCAGTAATCTTTGGGCCTGCTTTGAAATTTGGGTCCATCTTTTTTAAAACACCTTGCGTGTAGACACTGTCCATTCACCGTCTACGCCCCAACATGCCTCTAAAATGGCTCTTAGGGGCCGCCCATAAATGACGTCACGCGATTTTGGACGATTTTTTACCCCCCCCCCCCCTTCGTCACACGGCGTCACAAAAAGTCAGACCCCCCCCTCCCTCAAATATGACGTCACAAAGCTCTGCCCCCCCCCAAAAAAAAACAATATTTTCATTTTGAAAATTCAACATGCTTCAAATCGCTTTAAACTATTGTCATTGTAGTGCGTATTTAATGTGGCGCTGCACTCTGATGTTGTAGGAGAAAACATTTATTAAAAAGTCAATTTCATTAAGTAGAACGTGTTGTCTATATTTATTTAAAGTTGCGCATTTTGATGTGACGTCACATTTCTCAACCCTACCCCCACCTCGTCACACATCGTCACAAATGTCTGACCCCCCCCCAGAAAACGCCCGATGATGCTGGCTGATGTAATCACCAGCGAAACGTCATACTAGTCAAACTGTAAATGTTGTGGATTTACTCTCCAACACATCGGTGGGCTGAATGAGTTACTCATTGGCTGTGTCGGGTGGTGGAAGGTTACGACACAATATTGATACTTACGCGATCTAACCCAATAAACCTTTGATATGAATAAAAGTCTTCCATCGTGTTGTGTATCGGCTTGCCAGTAAACATTGCATGGTTGGGCCAACGGATTGCGAACAACATGCCAACGTCGCATGCATCGCTTTTCCAAGCAATCAGCCCGCAATTGTCATCATTAAATCCTTTATATTAAGTTTGCTTGCTTGCTTGCTTACGACCGTGCAAATCTTTCGGTCGTTTTTTAACCCACTTCCCGTGATCCAATAGAGCTGACATTTTCCACACAGATTCTTTGTGCGTGACAATTAATGTTCGTGAAATATTTTTTTTCCAAAATTTTACACTTTTTAGGACAAAAATATTATATTTAATTACCAATTGCTTAATGGTGCAATGCAATCATCTGACCCATAGGTGGCAGCCATCTCAAGCCAGAGGACGAGAGGACTCTAGCCGCCACGCATATAAAGGATTTATAGTGAAAAACTTTGTTTTTACGGGTTATACTTGTTTTTACAGTCACAGTCGCTGCTGGGATTGCTAGTTTCTCCTGAAACGTTGAAGAGTGATCCCTCTCTGTTGCCAATGGGAGATGAAAGATGTTCATCGCCGCCCAATCATCGCCCAATTAAACATGAGCTACGATCGCTGTATGTCAAGCCAATTAAGACGCGGTTAACACATTCCTGCGGAGGGAGCTGGTATAGGAACGTTGGGTTGCTCGGTCAATGGCCAGGGTCAACAGCGGCGTGGTGTATTCCGCAAATATTCCGGACTGTGAGGGCGGGCACAAGCCGGCGTGAGTAGGTTAAACGTTGAGTTTTATAAGGTCACCACGGGGTGACCAGCCCCTCCCCACCCAGCCCAACCCCTCCCACTCCCCACCCAGCCCCTCCCCACCCAACCCTTCCCCACGCTCCCCTCCCCACCCAGCCCCTGCCTCCCCACTCAGCCCCTCCCCACCTTCCCCACCCAGCCCCTCCCCACCCTCCCCACCCAGCCCCTCCCCACCCTCCCCTCCTCACCCAGCACCAGCCCCTCCCATTTTTGGATGCACGACGGACGGACACAATAATCCCCTGTGGGCTGGTGTAACCAGGAGGTTCCTACCAGTATAAGATGCTTTGCCAGACACCCTTCAAACGCCACGAAAGAGAATGTAGCACAGGTCGTGTTTCCACGACACGCTGAACCCTGAACTCTGATGTCACCAATTGCTCTGCTGCTCCCAAGTGTTTGAAATGTAAACTGTTGTCAAACACGAAGCCACAGTGTGCATTGCTGGCGAGTTCGAGCATTATTCACCGACTGTGTGCATCATTCCGTCGCAGGCAGCGGTGCGAGGCTTACAGCAATCGATTCGAGAGGTTTGAAACGAAGCTGCAAGTGTCCTAAAAATACCCCCGCCTCTGTCTACCCAACAGTATACACAGTAAGTTGAACAAGTAGTGGTAGGCTTTCGCGGCCAATATCATCCATAAGAGATTTTTTTTGGGTTAGATCGCGTAAATTATATAAATGTGTGTCTTCTTGGTTCTTTCCGTAAAGTCACGTAGAATGGAAATAATAAAATTAAAATAAAACATAATAAAATAATTCTCACGACGTTTCGGCCACAACGCAAGCAGCCGTCCTCAGGTGAAGAACAGGGCTGTCGGGAAGACACTGTCTGAATGACACACCCCAGGCTTGGAGCGTCTATTCTACGTGACTTTACCGAAAGAACCAAGAAGATGAATCCCTGCAGTCACGAAAGCTTTAAATCGAAATTTAAATGTGTGTCGTTAAACCCGCCGACACAGCCAATTAGTAAGATTTGTCACGG